GGCCCGGTCCACATCACCGCCGCACTGATCAGATAATAAGTGCCCCAGGGTCGGAAGCCTCCTGGGCACGGTCCTCAAGGAACTTCTCCACCGCAGTGGCCACAGCCTCTAATCCGCGGACTGCCTCGAATATGCACGCAAAAGCCAATCGACCAACAGACCGAGTACGGCCCAAAGCTCTAAGGGCTCGAAGCTCGAAGACAGTGAAACAAACTGAATGGGCATAAACTGCCGGAGGTCCGCGCGGATCTCGTGGGTCAGCGCTGGACCTCACTGGCACGCGGTGCGCTAAGCGGGCCAGAGAGGTCCAGCGCCGACCCAAGAAATCCGCGCGGACCTCCGAACGTCATCATGGCTATGCAGACGCTTCTTGACAGCGGTATCATGCAACAGCGAAGCCCGTGCCGTCAAAGACACTTGCGTCTTGGGCATGGAGTCCTGCACGAAAAAGCAGACAGCCTCTACCAGCACTGCGCCGCGCTTGACCAGAGCTGTACTGAGATGCCCCGCACCCATCCCCTCCACCCGAGGTCAGACTACATACACATCCACCGCGCCGATGTCTCAGGACTCAAGGAGGCAGCTAACATTGATGTCTTTCCCATGCGGAGGATACATCTAGATGTGTGTAAATACATACACATCTCAAACTCATATATGATAAGCAAGGGGAAAGTGCGTGCCGAGGTTCATACACACAAGAACTGCAGCACGCACGCGTCGCAGAACATGGACAAGAAGAGGAATATGATGTCGGATGCGAGGACGAGGTAGGAAGTGCAGAAGCACAAGAAAAAAGGAGAAGAGGTGAACGATGAGCCTCACCAGGGGCCAGTTGGAAAGGAGGTGCGACAGCAGGGTCGCATTCGAACAAAGGTTGGATTGCAACACCTTGCGATTTGCGTGACGCAAGAGAGTGTTCCACACCTTGCGATTGCAGTTGAAAAGAAGCAGTGGAGCCAATTGTTGAGCAAGTCTCGGAAGAAACTGTTCTTGTGAAGAATATGAGGGAAACGACTGTGCTTCGAAGAAAGACGCCCAAACACATTGAACACCATTGCGTTTTGAAGCTGAAGCTTTCTTGTGTTTCTGGGCCCTGACGTCGCATTCTGCGTGAGGGGCGCGTCCGATTGTCAAATGTTAAAGATGTTACGAGCGGAACGGCCAGACAAATTGCGAACGGGGCGGGGATGTTTCAACTGATCGCCTCTGAGCTTAACTCCTTCGGAATAGGTGCGCATGATAAAATGTATTTGAATATAGATAGATGTACGTGCACACGTATACAACTGCACGTATAGCCTTATTTGGGCCTTGGACCTCCCCCTGTCACCCACTCTCAGCCTGGACATTCCAGCTGCCGAACGCGGGCTTGCGCGGCGGCTCACTCGGCCGGGTCGTCGCGTAACAGATGCAGCTGCAAGGAGTTTACCACCAGCGCTACCTGCTTGATCTCGACATCCGTCACCGTCATGACGCAGAGCGCTCCGCGGACCATCGCTGCCGTGGCCACGCTGCGGCCCTCCGCGTCCCCGGGCAGCTCCAGAGGCACGGCCACCCACTGCTTGCCGACGGGGATGGTTAGCGAGGTCTTTGGCAGCGGCAGCTCTGGCTCGAGGCACTGGATGGTGACCTGTGAAGGGGTCCTGGGACACACAAATAAATAGACACTAATAAGAGGATTCCCCATGTTTTTCAATATTTTCTGGGTTTTTGTCTTCCCCCCAATTTTTTTGAATATTTTCTTATATATTTCCAGGAAATCGACGATTAATTATGTCTGTGTGTTTTTCCCCTCCTGAACCTGCACGAGCGCCTGGGCGAACGGCCGCGTGGAGAACGTGGGGGCGGCGGCCTCCGGCGGCCGCAGCCGCCCAGGCACGAGCCCGCCCATCGACACCGCGGCCATCAGCTGGCCCCACCTCCAGGCGAGCACGATGCGCATCGGCAGCGCCGGGCCGAGGGTGGCACCGATGCCCACGAGCGCCGCGAGCCGGTCGGACTCGCGCTGCGGCAGCGTGATGGGGACCGAGAGGCAGAACTCGCCCGAGTTGCACCGCGCAGCGCCGCAGCGGCAGAGTGCGCTGCGCAGCGCCGCCTCGTCCTTCCAGCGAAGCAGGCAGACCATCGGCGCCGCGAAGGCCCCGCGGCGCTGCAGGTGGAGAGCCGAGGCGAGAGCGGCGGCGTTGACGGCGCCAGCCAGCTCATCGATCTGGCCGGCCGAGTCCAATGGCGCCCTGAGCCCGCGAGCAGGGACGGCCTTCCCCAGGACGCGCAGCGCGCGGATCACGCCAGCGCGCTCCCCCTCCGGGAAGCAGGAAGCCTCGAGTCGGAGGAAAGGCACCTCAGCGATGGCGGCGTGGAGCCAGCAGGAGCTGCCCGCCAGAAGCCGCGCCAGGCGATGATTGCACGGGCTGAGATCGCTGAGGTCGTCCAGTGTAAGCGCCCGAAGGAGATTCTCTGAAATCGCACCATCCTCCAGAACGCGCAAGGCAGGGAC